AGATTTCTCCAGATTCTCTGAATCTTTTAATGATATTATGTACTGTAGATGATGAAAAGCAAAAGTTCTTTGCTATTTTATGTTGAGAAACGTTCTTCTTGAATTGTTTGACTATTTGCTCACGCAGCCTTTCACAGAGTGGTGAACCCCTCCTCATCTTACTCATGTTACTGACCTGTTGTCAATTAACCACCAGGTGTTTTTTAGCAGTACACAACTTTACCAGCCTTTTTTTTTGTCCCGGTCCCAACTTTTTTGGAATGTGTTGTTGGCATCAAATTCAAAATGGGCACATATTTAAAAAAAATATATATATATATATATATGCATATATATATATATATAATTTCCTGGTTTGATCATTTGATATGTTGTCTTTGTACTATTTTCAATGAAATATTGGGTTTAAATGAAAAAAAAACATCATTGCATTTTGTTTTTATTTACATTGTGCACAGCATCTCAACTTTTTTGTAAAATGTGTAAAGTGTAGTTGCAATGTTCAATTTGCAATGTGTTTCTTCATTAAGTGATCATTTAACAGGAATTTCACAGAATATGTTGTTATATATTAGCAATTTGTAAGGGAGAACTTCATAAATTCATATTAATATAGTAAAATAAAAAAGGCAGTAGAGGTTAATGTGTTTTTATGTCCGTAAATGTATTTTTATTTCAGTATATTGAACAGATGAAATTCTTAATGGAAAAGGCAAATATTGAATAGATTCACCAAACCTTGCATAAAAATTTGTAGGCTTGCTTGAGACGGGTATATTTTTGCTAGAAAAAAAAGAGACATTGCCTGTTATAAGACCTTGTGTTATGGATTTGGGTTTGTAGCTATAAAAAATGAGGTAAGACATTTGCTACAAGTAGACAAATGAAGAAATGAAAAGCTACCTATTCTTATAAATAAACAAATAAATAAATGATTAAACAAATGAATGATTGAAACAATGAATGAATAGAAAATTAGTAGCAAACTTTTCCCACTGCCTTCTGTCTCCTTGCTCTTGTGATGTAAAATAGCTTACACTAAATTTCTTTTCAAGCATTCCATTGTTTACATTCCATTATTCTGTGCATAATAGAGCCCCAACAACAAGAAATAGAATATAGAATCCAGCATATTTCACTTCACTGTTTAATTGTTTGTTTATACTGAGTTTGTTACTCACAAACAGAAATATTCTTAAACCATGAAGCTGTTATATCCATAGTTGTTTTATGTTAATCTTGTATAACAGTCCTTATTTGAGGGGAATATTAGTTTGATTTTAAAGAAATGTTTATATTCTCTGACACAAGTGGTCTAATTTATCATTGTGAAACCAATTGATTGAAAATGAAATATTATCCAGCTCAGTTTAGTCATTTTTAAAGAAGTTATACTTAATATTGAAGATATAAAAAGTACTATAAACTTTTAAAACTGAACATGTTTTCAGGAATTAAATAACTGATTTTGCTTGATTTTTTGGAAATACAGTAGATGATCTGTTAAGTCCAAAATTAGTTGGCACAGAAAAACATGTAAAGAATGTCATGCTGTGCACCATCAATAATTCTACAGACTTGTGAACACAGTTCTTTCTTTCTTTCTTTCTTTCTTTCTTTCTTTATTTCTTTCTAATTAAACCATGCTTTCCTGATATAACATTCATATCAAAATTTTTGAAAATGATAATTCATGAAATACTGAAAATACACAAATGTTTAAACAATTAGTTAAATATTATATTGTATTCATTTGCATACATTTTTTTTCATTTATTCATATACTTCTCCATTTGAATTGTTATTATTCATGTGCTTATTTAATAATATTTTTTTATTTATTCATCACCTTTCATTTTGAGTCCAAACTCTCAGGATGCTTTACATGCAAATTAAATACAATACAACTAAACATTTATCAAAACCACAATTAAAAAAGTATAAGAATAACAAATATAAGTAATGTAAAATATTGATAAAACAAATACTAAAACATCATTAGCATTAGTACAAAACAAACTCCACAATAATAATAATAATAATATCAATGATATAAAACAACAATTACAAAAACGTTCTATTACAAGTCACAAGAAGTATGTTTAATTTCAGAAATTATGAATAAGCCAGTTTGAACATGTAAGTCTTTTAACTACACTGTTAAAAAAGATGGTTCTTTAACAACTCTTTAGCAAAGACAATGATTATATCTAGAACCATGAGCACTCAAAACAAAACAATTTGCATGCTCAAATTGCAAATAGGTAAAATGTTTCTTCAGATTGATGGATAATGTGTTTGATATGGGTCTATATAGCACCAAGAGGGTTCTTATTTGTTACGATGTCAAGTTTGTACCAAAAGAAGAAGCCTTTTTAGTGTTTTATCTAACCTTTTATAAAACCTAAAAAAAATTACTTAATGTGGTAAAAAGCGATTAAAACACAATAAATTACTTTGATTTAAAAATCACATATTTAAAATAATTATTCAGGTTGAATGAAACTATTAAATTTACTTGTTACCACACGAAGTAATTCAAAGTCTTTTGACAGTGCACCATGCAAAAACACTTTATGCATGAAAAGGTTGTTCACAGAACTCATGGTTCTAAATAGAACCACTCTCTTTACTAAAGAACCCTTGAAGAACCATCTTTTTTAAGAGTGTTGATTTGATTTCTTAAGCTTGTGATTCCTAAAATCCCATGGAACACTAAAACAGGAGTTTAGGAGCTACTTAGCATCTAAAACCAGCTGAACTGCAAATAATCCTTGGGTTTAGCAGTAAAACTGCTACTGTTGAATGAAGTGCATGAGGTGGGTGAGACTGTAACTCTTCAAAAGGTTTATCAGGTATCCTGGAGCTAAACTGTTTAGAGCTTTATGTCATTAACAGGACATTGTAGTCAATATGAAACTGAACAGGTAGCAAGTATCGACTGTATAACACCAGCAACTGTGTGAGCAACAGCATTGTGAACTAACTGAAGCTAATTTAACCTTTTCAACTCCAACCACTGGTGGTTCCAAAACGCACTTCGTCATATTCTTCATAACGTTCATATTTCATAAGCTACATGCAAAAGCTGGGTGTCATATGAGAGCTGTAACTGTCTTCTTTCCAGTCAAATAGATGGGTAATATAATTTTAAACCCTTATAATAAAAGAAGCTGAACAATTTTTTTTTCCACTGAAAGTCGACCCATTTTTCCACAAATCTGGGCTATAAACAATAAACAAATGACGTCTCTTCAGTGATCTGCTCTGTAAAAATTAATTTTATAAAATAATACAAAGAGCGTCAAAGATTTTTGGCTTTCGGCAGTAAATTGTAAGCATATAGCAATATGTGTATGATCATAAAACACCTTCTGTTAATTTGAAGGCTTTTACAAAAAAAAATAATAATAAAAATAAGATCAAAATTTACAGTTATTTCATGCAGTTACTGAATAATTTGCCTTACGATTTGGTCATGTAAATTCAGATGGACAAACCAATATATACCCTGGTCAAAAGAAATCACAGGACAGCAGGCTAACAACACATTACAGTCATTCAATGTAGACAATAAAAAAGCATGTACTCGCTTCTCAGCAGCATTCATCGTTGCCGTATGTGTTACGTTTGCTACATTTGTCAAAAGAAGTTTTAGGAATGCAGTTTATATGGGAATCAAATGATAAACCAGCATCAAGTATTACACCAAGTCCTTTGACTGTAGCTTTTGTTTTCAAAGAAAAAATGATTGAAGTCAATAACCTCATCTCGAGTGACTAAGTACCCAATATCAGTACTTCAGGTTTGTTGAGATTTAAGAAAAAAAAATGTTTCTAGCCATCCAAACTTTAATGTCTTTAATTCTTCCATTTTGTGCAACTGTGCTGCTGAACCTGGCTGAACTGAAAAGATGGTCTGTGTGTTCTCAACATAAAAATGAAAAACAATATTGTTGGTAGATCACCCCTCCCAGGGGCTGTAAGTAAAGTGAAAACAATAGGGGGTCCAAAATGGAACTTTGTGGGACACCGTAATGCACTCATTTATGCTTTGAAAACTCTTACTTAATGCTGATACATTGACAATGATGGCCCAAGCTGAATAGTTCAATTTATTATGCTAAGTTAGTATCTGGCTAATATTTCATAATGGTATGTCAACTGTATTTAATGCTGGTGTTAAAGGACATTTAGTTTTATATTGGCCAAAAACAAAAGTTAGTGTCTACAAAAAATGTAAAAACAGTGCTGCTCCTCTTTGGAGTGGATCTGAAAATCTTAACTGGGCAAAACTGAGGCACACCTGTGTTCTGTGCTAAGGGCCCTAAGTGCATATTTCCTGGACATGACGAGGCCTGCAGTTACTTCAGCTCAGCCACTCTGTTTATTTTAATGACACCCTTTAAGACACCAGAGACGCACAAATACAAACATTAGATCCATCATTGCAATCACCAAATTAAGACATAACCACGCCCCCTGAGAATCAGCTCACACCCACAGAGACACATTACTAGGGAGATATTTAAATGCAGCCAGCCTTGACTTCAGAGGGCTGAGAACTACCGAGAATGCAATGCAGCTCATATCAAATCTATTGACATTTGTATCAACGCTATGGATAACTGGGTTCAGTCCAGCAGCTTGTAAAGCTGACCCGGTCAGCTGCAGGCTGTGGGATGAGCCTCAGGTGCCTGATCTTTATATGAATGGAGATTTTGTGATTGGAGGGATTTTCTCTATTCATTACTACACGAGATCAGAGCAGAACACTTACACCAGACCGCCACTCCAGCTACAGTGCTCTGGGAGGTTGGTCTGTGAGTGTGGAGTGAACAGTGTACGGAGCATCCGAGAGAAATTATAATATTCAAATGGCTATTTTAAAAATCATGCGCTGCTTATTGAAACAACATAAAATCTTATTTTGTCTAAATGTTTTAATATCTTATATTTCTAAATAGTATGAATTTCAGGCAGCTGCGCTTTGCTCGTGCCATGGAGTTCACCATCCACGAGATAAACAACAGAACAGATCTCCTGCCGGGAATCACGTTAGGATACCAGATACACGACTCGTGCTCTGAAGTGCCGATGGCTGTTAAAGTTGCATTTCAGTTTGCAAACGGCATGGAACCATTTTACAATGATACTGATTCCTGTTCAAAATCTGCAGCCGCCGCTGTTCCTGCTCTCGTGGGAGAGACTTCTTCCACCCCGTCAATGAGCATGGCTAGAATGCTGGGTCTTTTTGGAATTCCACAGGTGATTATAGGCTGCACCGAATGGTGCAATATTGAAATTTCAGCAAGATCCTTTTTTTTTTATTAAAATTTAATGGTTTTAAAACGGGTTTAGTCATAACTGAAGAACCATATCATATACCATAAATAGTGCTAGAATTACGCCAGGCCTCTCAATTAACGCGTTTTTTTCTTGCACTGAATTACAGGTGAGTCACTACGCAACCTGCGCATGTCTGAGCGATAAGCGTCAGTATCCTGCCTTCCTCAGGACCATCCCTAGTGACCACCACCAAGCGGCCGCACTAGCAAGAATGGTGAAGTATTTTGGCTGGACATGGATTGGGGCAGTGCGCAGCGACACAGACTATGGAAATAATGGAATGGCTGCGTTTCTAAAAGCTGCGCAGGAGGAGGGCATCTGTGTGGAGTACTCCGAGTCCTACTACAGAACACAACCGCGCAGTAAACTGGAGAGAGTGGCGAACGTCATCCGCAGATCAACAGCCCGGGTAATAGTAGCGTTTGTTAACTCAGGTGAAATGAGGTTTCTGTTGGAGGAACTGGCGAGACAGCCGCCGCCTCCCCTTCAGTGGATCGGCAGCGAATCCTGGATCATAAATCCAGACCTTTTGCGCTTTAACATGTGCGCTGGGGCGATAGGATTTGGGTTCCCCCGCTCAGTGATTCCAGGTCTTCGTGAGTTTCTTCTGGATCTCTCTCCAGAACAAGCACTGAAATCACCTCTGCTGACGGAGTTTTGGGAGAGCTCGTTCAGCTGTAGCCTAAAAGGCTCCTCAGGGGGCGCGCGGGAATGTGACGGCAGTGAGGATATCCGCGCGCTGCAAAATCCATATACAGATACGACACAATTGCGCGTGACTAACATGGTGTACAAAGCTACGTATGCCATAGCGCATGCCATCCACAGTGTTATCTGTAATGACACGCAGTGTGACAAGAGCGCTAAATTCGCCCCATGGCAGGTACTGGTTCAGATAAATTCAAAATCTTTTGTTCTGACTTTTAATAATATTCTCTAATGGAAATATATATTATATATATATTAATAATTTCGTCTAAACACTACTGCAGATACTCGACCAGCTCAAGAGAGTGAACTTCACTACAAAGAATGGTTATCAGGTCTCGTTTGATTCCAGTGGTGATCCTGTGGCCGTCTACGAGCTCATAAACTGGCAGGTTAATAAAGATGGTGGTTTGGAGTTTGTGACTATGGGTCACTATGACTCATCCAGACCAAAAGGCCAGGAGTTTAGTATGAGCAGAGCTATCAGCTGGGTTGGGGGACAGAACGAGGTAGAGAACAACTCATCCTGTACAGTCTCAGAAGCTTGCAACACTTTTTGTGTTATATCTGTTACAAACAGCAAAAATCTAGTTTTTCAACATGCCCAGGGAGTATGTACATCAATTAAACTGAACTGAACTACATTTACTCTTATGGAAAGGTGGTGTAATCATGTTTCACACAAACTAAATGTAGTGTTAAGATATGTTTTCCAAAGGCAACCAAAAGCATTAACCATATCATCTACAACAGTATCTCAGGCGCCAGCATGTAAAGCTGTGGCATTACTCACTAGAGGATTCATAGATTGCATAACATTTTGTTATAACTCCATTTAAGAGCTCCACAGAGCATCGTAGAACTCCAATTTTCATAATTAGTGTAGCAAGTTTTTTACTAACATTGCCTGCTGAGGAAAAAAACAGCACAGCCCAGCATTCCTCTTTTTATGCTAGTTCCCTGCTGGTTTAGCTGGTCACCCAGCATGGTCATACTGGTTAAACAGCATTTCTGCATCCAAAGCACACACAACATGTGCTGGTTTTGCTGGTGACCTGCGATGGTGTCATGTGCCGTCTTTATGGTTATTTTTCCCAGCAGAGTTATTACTGATATTATGTTTGATTCCTGTTGCAAATAACCACATTATGGAATGTCACACCTTCTTAAAATTTCAAAGTCAACATATATGTATATTGTACTTTTTACAACAAGCATTCTCACAATGAGCTAGCCAATGGCTTTTCTTACATGCTTTTTTAGGTGCCAAGATCTGTGTGCAGTGAGAGCTGTCCTCCAGGAACCAGGAAGGCTGTGCAGAAAGGAAAGCCAGTCTGCTGCTATGACTGTATACCATGTGCAGAAGGAGAGATCAGTAACAAGACAGGTTGTGTATCAAAATACATAACAAGGAAGGAAGGTTCTGTCAATCTCAGATCTTTTTTTTGAATGTTATTGTTATCCTGAATGTGCCAAAATAGAAAGTATAGAGTCTACTTATAGTAATATTCTGATAAAGCTTACTTGTTGTTTTTTTTTTTTAATTTCTTAGACTCTTTGAACTGTGTGCGCTGTCCTCCTGAATTCTGGCCCAACGCCCAGCGAGACAGCTGCCTCCCCAAGCCTGTGGAGTTCTTGTCCTGGGACGACACTCTGAGCATCATCCTGACAGTGTTCTCCATCACTGGGGCCTTCATAGCTGTATGTGTGACTGCTGTCTTCTACAAACACAGAACTTCTCCCATCGTCCGAGCCAACAATTCAGAGCTGAGCTTCCTGCTGCTCTTCTCACTGACTCTGTGTTTCCTCTGCTCACTTACTTTCATTGGTCAGCCCTCTGAGTGGTCCTGTAAACTACGCCACACAGCGTTTGGGATCACCTTCGTCCTCTGCATCTCCTGTGTTCTGGGGAAAACAATAGTGGTGTTAATGGCCTTCAGAGCTACACTTCCAGGCAGTAATGCCATGAAATGGTTTGGGCCTCCACAGCAGAGACTCAGTGTTCTTGCTTTCACTCTCATACAGGTCCTTATTTGTGTTCTTTGGTTGACAATATCTCCTCCTTTCCCCTTCAAAAATCTAAAGCACTACAAGGAAAGGATAATACTGGAATGTGGATTAGGTTCAGCTATAGGTTTCTGGGCTGTGCTGGGTTATATAGGATTTCTGGCTCTTTTGTGTTTTATTTTGGCTTTTCTAGCACGGAAGCTGCCTGATAACTTTAATGAAGCCAAGTTCATCACATTCAGCATGCTCATATTCTGTGCAGTTTGGGTTACCTTTATCCCAGCTTATGTCAGCTCTCCAGGAAAGTTCACTGTAGCTGTAGAGATATTTGCTATCTTGGCCTCAAGCTTTGGTTTGATTATTTGTATTTTCGCTCCCAAGTTTTTCATAATTATTTTTCGGCCAGAGCAGAATACCAAGAAACACATTATGGGTAAAGGGCCTCCCAAGACACTCTGAAACCCTCACACTCTTGCTCAAGGACTCTTTTTTGATGTAGCTGCTCATAGTCAGGCTATGAGCAGCAGTGTTAACCACACACTACTCCAACTGCTCACAATGTAGTATGACATTTTCAAGGATTTTTGCTTAATCATTTGCTTAATTACTTAATGTATCAATATCAAAAGTCACATGGCTGTCTTTAGCAAGTCAATATCTGTACTGAGCATGTGGAGTGTAAACAGTTCTGTTGATTATTGAATTTTCTGCTAAACCAAAAAGAGTGCTTGAGCATGATGCCTAGTACTATTCGCCTGCCTCTTTAACATGGTTAAATCTGTATGTCACTCTGGATAAAACCGTGTGCCAAAATGTAATGTCGATATGAATGGAGGAAAGTTGGCTTAGGCTCAGACTTCTGAAAAAAGTTGTACTTCTTAGGACAACAAACATTCCTATGTTAGCTAAACTAAATATTACCTTTTGTGGTAATGACTCAATGTCAGTCAGTGTAACTAATTATTAAAAGATGTTGATTAAACAGAAACAGCTAGTGGAATTTAGGACTTAGATATATTTTGTTGTGCAAAATAAATTTTTAGAGTGTATCGCCACCACTGAGAAAGTTTGGTAAGTTCCTCTAGAACGTAACATTTCACATCAAACCCCTCTGAATGACTTTGTTTATATCCTAATGAGTAACGATTTAAGAAGAAATTGTAGAAATGTATTTATGTTCTGTGCAGTTTCCACTCTGTCTTCCTGATGAGTTAGTGAACTCTCCCTCAGCACAGAGCAGGCAGTCTAAACAGTAGACAGGCTCTCCTGGCCATGTGGCCTGCTGAGTCCCATTTAATTTAATATAATTTAATAACTGTCTGTCAGGAAATTGGTAAAATGTACATTTATATTGAGAATAAAATGTGGTAAAACAGGGTTTTTTTCTGTAAATTTACAGAAAATGTAGTTATTTTGTGTTTCTAATTTTAAAGGGAGTATTTTGTAAATTCACCAAAAGTAAAAAAGGCAGTAAAGGTTAACGTATTTTTGACTATTTTAGTATATGAATTAATAGATATATTAATAAATAGATTTTATTTAGATTTTTAATAGATTAATAGTCAAATTTATATAGTAAATTAAACGTGAAAGTAAATTTAACATAGAATTGTCAAAACTTGCGTAAAAAATTTGTAGGCTTGCTTCAGATATTTTTGTCAGAAAACACACACGCACACACACATATTATATATATATATATATATATATATATATATATATATATATATATATATATATATAAGCTAGGAGAAATGAGGAAGGCATAGGTACAAGTGGACTAATGATGAATTTAAAACGCCGACTCATTCGCTTTTTTTGGCGACATTCCATTATTCTAGTGAATATCAAGCGACTGCTGGATGGAAACTTGGCGAATGCAGCACTGACTGCGCTGGACTCTTTTGGAACACTTCAGTCAGTCTCTAAGCATAAACTCAATATTTAAGAAAGGAAAACAACTGAAAATCTTAGAACCTGTACATGTGTTCAGGAATTAAATAAACGGTTTGGCTTGATTTTTATGGAAGTCCGATAAGTGACCTGTTAGATCCTAGATAAGCTGGCGTGGAAAAACGTGTAGGGAGTGTTATGATATGCACCTTTGATAATTCTGCTTACTGTTGAACAGATTTTTTTTTTCATTCGAAATCAGCTACGCTGCCCTGTAATAAAATTCATTTTAAAATAGTGAAAATTATATTTTATTCATTGTCAGTATTCATATGATCTTTTAATAATAATTGATTTATTACCATTCGTTGAGTCCAAAATCAAGGTGTTTTACAAATTAAATGATACACAAAAAAAATGAAGTAAACCAAAACTCACAATCAAAAGAATAAGAAGAGCAAAGTGTTATAAAATATTAGTAAAACAAATGCTAATCATTAGCTTTAATAAAAATTCAAGCTCCAAAATAATGTAACCCAATTAAAATAAAAAAATTTAAAAAATTAAAGCGCATTTCTTTTTACAAGTAAATAGTATTATGTTTAATTTCAGCGATTATGAGTAAAACAGAGTCTTCAAACAACACTCTTAAAAAAAAGATCTTGAAGAGTTCTTTAGTTAAGATAATGGTTCTAGATATAGAACATATATACTGATATATAAAACCATGTGCATATGGAAACTTTCTGAAATTATTCTATATAGCACCAAAAGGATTCTGCTATTGTGACGATGTCAAGCTAGTTTTTAGGCATTTAAGCTTTAATGTCTTTAATTCTTCCTTTTTGAATAATTGTGCTGCTAAATCTGGCTAAACTGATAAATATGTATTCTCAGCATAAAAATAAAAACCAACATTATGTTTGCAGAACACATGTCCAAGGTGCTGTAAGAGGAGTGAAAACAATAGGGGGCCTAAAATGGAACTCTGTGGGACACCATAATGCGTTCTTTATGCTCTCAAAACTCTTTTTTAAGGCAGACAAATTGGTAATGGCCAGTCAGACCAGGAAAGAACTTGACCAACCTATCCTACTAATTCTCAAAGCCTATCAAATTAAGTTTCATGATCAATAGTGTCAAATGCTGCACTTAGATCAAACAGCACCAAGACAGAAAAGCAGCCGCAATCTGAAGCCAGCAGCAGATCATAAAGGACTTTGGCTAGTGCTGAAATTGTGCTATGATACTTCTTGATGCCTCACTGGAACACATCATGTGTTTTATCCCTACTATATTATTCTGAATGAAAAAGTTGTTGGGTTACAAGTAAAAATGTAAAAGACATATGGGAGATAGGACATTGGATATATCCAAGGATCAAGATTCAGTGTCTTTAAGACAGGGTAAACAATAAATTTGGGACATGAACCAAGCTGAATGACATATTTATGATGTTAAGAAAGGGTTCCCCTAATATTTCGTAATGTCAAACGTTTTTAACACACGTTTAAAAGGACAATCCTTCATCATTTTTTTTTTTGTACTTTGGCAAAAAAATAAATTTTGTGTTAAATATTGTGCCTACAAAAGATGAAACAGTGCTGCTCCTCTCATGAGTGGAAATCATGCAAAAGAAAATTTGAATTGCAGAAAACTGAGAAACGCATTTTTTTTTTTGATGATGATGATGAAGAGGTCTGCAGTTACATCAGCTCAGCCACTCTGTTTATTTTAATGACACCCCTTAAAACACCAGAGACACACAAATTAAGTCATAACCACGCCTCCTCAGTCCGAAGTCACACCCACAGGGCATTATTATAAGGTGAATATTTAAATGCAGTCACCCTGGCATTCAGAGGGCTGGGCACTGCTGAGAATGCCATGCAGCTCACTTCAAGTCTACTGACATTTGTATCAATGCTTTGGATAACTGGGCTCCGTCCAGCAGCTGGTAAAGCTGACCTGGTTAGCTGCAGGTTGTGGGCTGAGCCTCAGATGCCTGTTTTTTCTATGAATGGAGATTTTGAGATTGGGGGGATTTTTTCTATTCATATTTACACGAGATCAGAGAAGAACACCTACACCAGACCGCCACTCCAGCCACAGTGCTCTGGAAGGTGTGTCTGTGAGTGTGGAGTGAACAGTTGCAGAGAGAATTACAAAGAAACTCTAGTAATCAAACTGTTATTTTCTGCACTCATGCGCTGGTTATTGAGTTAGCGACATCTGAAATGTTGTGAATTTACATAATCTCTAATTTTGTCTAAATGTTTTTATTTCTTCTGTTTCTGAACAGTGTTAATCTAAGGGGTCTGCGCTTCGCTCGTGCCATGGAGTTCACCATCCACGAAATCAACAACAGAACAGATCTACTGCCGGGAATCACGTTAGGATACCAGATACACGATTCGTGCTCTGAAGTGCCGATGGCTGTTAAAGTTGCATTTCAGTTTACTAACGGCATGGAACCATTTTACAATTATATTGATTCCTGTTCAAAATCTGCATCTTCTGCTGTTCCTGCTCTCATAGGAGATTCTTCTTCCACCCCGTCAATGAGTATGGCCAGACTGCTGGGTCTTTTTGGAATTCCACAGGTGACTGCATTTAAAATTCCAGCGTGCTGTATGTGAGAAAATAGTACTTGCAAAATGGTTTTAGATGTAACTGAGGAGTTCTATCATATACTGGAAACGAGTGATATAATTCAATCAGATTCTTAATAGCGCTTCTTTTTCATTTTCTACACTGAATAACAGGTGAGTCACTACGCAACCTGCGCATGTCTGAGCGATAAGCGTCAGTATCCCTCCTTTCTCAGGACCGTGCCTAGTGACTATCACCAAGCGACCGCACTAGCAAGAATGGTCAAGCATTTTGGCTGGACATGGATTGGGGCAGTGCGCAGCGACACAGACTATGGAAATTATGGAATGGCGGCGTTTCTAAAGGCTGCGCAAGAGGAGGGCATCTGTGTGGAGTACTCCGAGTCCTACTACAGAACACAACCGCGCAGTAAACTGGAGAGAGTGGCAAACGTCATCCGCAGATCAACAGCCCGAGTAATAGTAACGTTTCTTGCCGCGAGCGACATAAAGTTTATTTTTGAAGAACTGACAAGACAGCCGCCGCCTCCCCTTCAGTGGATCGGCAGCGAGACGTGGATCATAGATCCAGATATTCTGCGCTTTAACATGTGCGCTGGGGCGATAGGTTTTGGCATCCCCCGCTCAGTGATTCCAGGTCTCCGTGAGTTTCTTCTGGATCTCTCTCCAGAACAAGCACTGAAATCGCCTCTGCTAACGGAGTTTTGGGAGAGCTCGTTCAGCTGTAGCCTAAAAGGCTCCTCAGAGGGGCGCGCGGGAATGTGACGGCAGCGAGGATATCCGCGCGCTGCAGAACGCATATACAGACACGTCGCAGCTGCGCATCACTAACATGGTGTACAAAGCTACGTATGCCATAGCGCATGCCATCCACGGTGTTATCTGTAATGACACGAAGTGCGACAAGAGCGCTAAATTCACACCATGGAAGGTACTGGTTAATTTAAAAAGTCTTTAATTTTTTGAATTATGGAATATTTTTAAATGTTATTCAGTGCTTTTTAACACTAGCTGCATATAGTCAAAGAAGAAATGCTTCATTTTTATTTATGTTCCACTGCAGATACTCGACCAGCTCAAGAGAGTGAACTTCACTACAAAGAATCGTTATCAGGTCTCGTTTGATTCCAGTGGAGATCCTGTTGCCGTCTATGAGCTCATAAACTGGCAGGTTAAGAAAGATGGTGGTTTGGAAATTGTGACTGTGGGCCACTTTGACTCATCCAGACCAAGAGGCCAGGAGTTCAGTATGAGCAGAGCTATCAGCTGGGTGGGGGAACAGAAAGAGGTACAGTACAACACATCATGTACAGTCTTGAAAGGTTGCAACACTTTTTTGTCTCAGCCTCCGTAACTAAGCGTGTTATTTAAGATATGTCTGTGTTAGAGCATGCCTAGGCACTATATATATGTATACGAATTAAACTGAAATGAATTGCAGTCAATCTTATCGAAAGAAAATGTTATCATGTTACAGACAAATCAAACTGGTAAGAGTCCCCCCCCCCAAAGGCAACCATACTTTAACTGCTGTAGTCACCATCATGCAAAGCTGTGGTATCACTCACCACATCCAAAACACAACATATACTGGTTTTGCTGGTGACCCTCCATGGTGGGCCATGCTATTTTGTCTACTATGGTCATTATCAACATGATCCTTGATTCCTGTTCCCAATAACCACATTATGTAATCATGCAATTTGGCACCTTTGTAAAAAGATTGTCTGCCTATTATTTCTAGCTGTAGTGAAGCATGTCAAGTTTATTTAATAGATATATTGACAGGCAGAGAGGGCACCTAAGAGTGACGAAGCTCACAGAACTGAAGCCGCCCCTTCAAACTCTATTCCCATGGGGAGGCTGAGCCTCACCTCGCTGAATCTCCTCTTGGGTCTGTCTGGGCACGTGCCTAAGCTCCACTACAGGGATAGGTTGTGGTTGAGGTACATAAGTAAAGTGGACTTTTTTGTTTTTTAAGTTTTCCTAAATTCAAGACAGAAAAAAGTTGATATTGAACCTACTAGTCTACGAGACATTCACATAACACTGTGGACGTGGATGAATAATCTAACACAAATTCTTTTTTGAGAGTTAAAGTTTACCATACTTGTGCAGGTTCCATACAAGAACTGTGAATTGTTCTTTGATCAGCCCCCATACATTACATATTATAACCCATCCCCGTCATGACATTGCCAGCATTTTCAATATGTATGTTTGAAGTTAGCATAGCTTTTTGACATTTCTTTGATGTATTTCAGGTGCCAAGATCTGTGTGCAGTGAGAGCTGTCCTCCAGGAACCAGGAAGGCTGTGCAGAAAGGAAAGCCAGTCTGCTGCTTTGACTGTATACCATGTGCAGAAGGAGAGATCAGTAACAAGACAGGTTGGGTATCACAATATATAATGAGGAAGTAATATTTTTGTGTTAATGTTATCCTCATGTTGCAAAAAAAACAAAAAAAAAACAAAAAAAAACAGTTTAAACTTTGTCTGAAAACATTCACAGTCACTATATATTTTGCTGTACTCATTCAAGCGCTGTCTTTCATTTGTGCTAATATAATATGCTTTTTAGTATGGAGTCCACTTATAGTAATAGTTCTCTAACAGGGCTTACTTTTTTCCCCAATCTCTTAGATGCTTTGAACTGTGTGCAATGCCCTCCTGAGTTCTGGCCCAACACCGGGCAAGACAGCTGCCTCCCCAAGCCTGTGGAGTTTCTATCCTGGGACGACACGCTGAGCATCATCTTGACAGTGTTCTCCATCTCTGGGGCCTTCATAGCTGTATGTGTGACTGCTGTCTTCTACAAACACAGAACTTCTCCAATCGTCCGAGCGAACAACTCAGAGCTGAGCTTCCTGCTGCTCTTCTCACTGACTCTGTGTTTCCTCTGTTCACTTACTTTCATTGGTCAGCCCTCTGAGTGGTCTTGTATGCTGCGTCACACAGCGTTTGGGATCACCTTCGTCCTCTGTATCTCCTGTGTTCTGGGGAAAACAATAGTGGTGTTAATGGCCTTCAGAGCTACACTTCCAGGCAGTAATGCCATGAAATGGTTTGGGCCTCCACAGCAGAGACTCAGTGTTCTCACCTTCACTCTAATACAGGTCCTTATTTGTGTTATTTGGTTGACAACAGCACCTCCTTTCCCCTTCAAAAATCTGAAATACTACAAGGAAAGGATAATACTGGAATGTGGATTAGGTTCAGCTATAGGTTTCTGGGCTGTGCTGGGTTATATAGGATTTCTGGCTCTTTTGTGTTTTATTTTGGCTTTTCTAGCACGAAAGCTGCCTGATAACTTTAATGAAGCCAAGTTCATCACATTCAGCATGCTCATATTCTGTGCAGTCTGGATCACCTTTATCCCAGCTTATGTCAGCTCTCCTGGAAAGTTTACCGTAGCTGTAGAGATATTTGCTATTCTGGCCTCAAGCTTTGGTTTAATTATTTGTATTTTTGCTCCTAAATGTTTTATAATTGTTTTTAGGCCAGAGCAGAATACCAAGAAACACCTGATGGGTAAAGTTCCCTCCAAGGCTCTCTGACACCCTCAAACAAATGGCACACTGAAACACTCAGATTAGCTGTTATTTAATGGTTGCAATTTGTCTTACTCCAGTTACCATGTGTCTTTCACTTTATGAACAATGAATGCTGTTTGAGTGATCAGTATTTGATTGGATTTTAACAGCTTAGGATATGCAATGAATTTCTCTTTTAGATGTGATCACAAAATCCATAAAATAAAACATAGAAAAGGCAAATATTCCATAAGACAAAAGTTTGTGTACATTTAATGCAATAACACCTTTAAAATGAGTTATTATTGTAAATAGTTTACATTACTGCATATATACACTCCAAGCATTTACTGTAAATATACAGTACTTCACTTGTAATTCTGTTGTCAGTGTAGTTCTGTAAATTTTAAGTTACTTTTACAATCTAGGCTACTTCTACTACTAAGAGCTAAGAAAAAAAATTAACATGACAATATATAAGGGAATCAAAACATTAATACATTTTGGGCATGGGCAAATGTACTTTATTTCCTTGGAAAATACCTTCATTACCATTTTGCTTTCCTTATCGAACCTGTCCTAAGCAAAAAGAAAAAAAAAGTACTTTGAATTAAAGGCCAATGTGATTTGTCACATGCCTCTGTTTTTATGATTCACACTGCTTACATGAACTGTACGAGTGGGCAATTAACAAATTGGCTGATATTGTGTGTATCCCGGATAAATTTGAACATGAGCTTACAGTTATTTACTTTGTCAAACTTTTGAATATAAACCTTTTTGCTGGTAACCGGTAAACTGACAGCTTCTCATAGGACACATGGTTTACACCCCATTTCCAAAAATGTTGGGATGCTGTACAAAATGTAAATAAAAGCATAATGCAATGATATGCAAATCATTCAAACCCTAAATTTCATTGAAAATAGTACAAAGACAACATGTCAAATGTTGAAACTGAGAAATGTTATTGTTTTTTGAAAAATATATGCCCAGTTTGATGCCAACAACACGTTCCAAAAAAGTTGGGACAGGGGCAACAAAAGGCTGGTAAAGTTGTGTAATGCTAAAAAACACCTGGTGTTTAATTGACAACAGGTCAGTAACATGATTGATTATAAAAAAGTATCTCAGAAAGGCTGAATTTTTTAGAAGTAAAGATGTGGAGGGGTTCACCACTTTGTGCAAAAGCACTAGCGAGCAAGTACGGCAACAATTCAAGAATAATGTTTCTCAACATAAAGTAGCAAAGAACTTCTGCTTTTCATCATCTACGGTACATAATATCATTAAAAAGATTCAGAGAATCCAGAGTAATCTCTGTATGGAAGGGACAAAGCCAAAAGCCAGTACTTGCTGGCTATGATTTTGGGACCTCAGGCGGCACTGCATTAAAAACAGACAATTCTGTAGTGGATGTCACTGTTTGGGTTCATAAACATTTCTGAAAACCACTGTCTGTTAAAACAGTTCATCAATGCATCCACAAATGCAAATTAAAACTTTGAAATGCAAAGAAGAAACCATATATTAACAGGATCCAGAACCACTGCCACCTTCTCTGGGTCTCAGCTCATTTAAAATGGACTCCGGGAAAGTGGAAAAGTGTCCTGTGGTCCAACAAATCAAAATTTGAAAACATGGACACCGTGTCCTCTGGGCTAAAGACCACTCAGGTTGTTATCACTGCACAATTCAGAAGCCAGTTTTCATGATAGTATAGGGGTGCATTAGTGCACATGGTATGGTTGACGTGCACATCCGTGAAGGCACCATTAATGGTGAATGATAGATACTTGTCTTGGCAACATATGCTACCATTCTGGCTAGTCTAACCTTGTTTTGATGAAAAAACAGCAACCTTTCAGCTCTTTATTCAAGAATTCAGTTCTGCTGTTTAGTTAGAAATCAACTGAACATGCAATACTCAGAATTTAAACATATCAAAATCATCATTTGACTATGTTTATTTACTTTTTTCTTTGCTCACTATTTTAAGCCAATAGCCCTACTAACTGGGACTATTTTGACTGAACATTGCCACTAGACATTTGCTCACATTGGGCTCCCAGTTGGGAGTGGTGATGGCTTCACTGGGATTTGAACTGTCCTGATGTTGGGGTGAATGCTTACACAGTAAATAAGTAATCACGCTATTTTACAATTTTTAATTAACTGAAATTCTAATATTAACACAACAAAGATCTGTTTATTCTGTTAATTATTATTTGACATTCAACCAATGCAGAATGTTAATGCAACCCAGTTAAAATCAAAACATCAAAACCAGTAAACAAATGAATAAACTGAAAAGTAAGTTTCATGGGTGACTTGAAGTTTTAAAGTCTTTAAAAATGGCATACAATTTTACAAAACAAACAACACAATATGAAAGACAATGTGTTGCACTAACTGAAACATTACAACCCAATATTTTCCAAATTCTTCGCAAGTAGATAAGTAAATAAACAAACAAACAAATAAATAAATAAATAAATAAGCAAGCAAGAAATAAAAGCTAAAAATAAAAATTTAATTTTTTTTATTATTACTTTGTTGTGAGATCTGAAATTTTACATGCTATAGCTCAATTCCCACTAAAAAATAAATTGTCACATTTTTCAATTAGATATTTTGACTGGCAATGTTTTTACTTGTTCAAACTCAGTTACTTTTGTTAAAAACGAACTCTGCGCTGTATGAGTTGGATCTCTGCTTGCCGGGTGACGGGCGGAAGTGGCGGGTCTTGTGACTGCAGGAAAGAGCTGCTTCACCGCCACTGCACCGTCACTTTTATTAGCAACCGCCACTTTTATTAGCGACCGCAACTTCACGCCGCTGCTCCGTCATTTATATTAGCGACCGTAACTTCAAGCCACTGCTTGAATGTCCACATATTTTTTTTTTTCCATACGGGCTGTATGAGACTTGAAGTAAGCCTGAATTGACATGAAAAACACAAGTTACTATGCTGTATTAATGACATGCGCCTGCTCAGACCTCTAGATGATTAGAACAACTTGTTCGCTGATAAAAGTGGCGATGAAACGTCGGTGAAGTGGCGGTCACTAATGAAAGTGACGGAGCAGTAGCAGTGAAATGGTGGTCGCTGATAAAAGTGGCGATTAAGTGGCCGTTTCCCGCAGTCACAAGGGTCCACTTCCACCTGTCATGCAGTGATCCAACCCCTGCTCACTCCACCTAACGTAACTCCATAACGAGGCCAGAAACAAACAGGAACGCAATTGACAACGCCGGCCAATGCACTGCAAACGCACGGCTCTTCTGTACAAAATCACCGTGTTCTTCCCTTATCGTGGCAGTTAAAACACTCAGTGCTAAAGGGGGCGATAGAGGACAAGTCAGAACAAGATCTACTGACAAAACAGTGCCAGAAACGTAACCTAACAGTAGAACTGTCACTGCCCGATTTGAACCGGAAACTTAATTTGAAACACGCATGCGCGACAATCTATGTCATTTCCGCTACTGTTTTACGGCTGCTGCCTGATACTGGCTGTGTCTGAGACGTAATAAAAGCTGCCTACTCATACAGTATTCTGAGCCAGTAAGGCAGTGTTACGTTCCTGCCTAAGGGTTTAAGGCCAGAAAATGGTAGTACATACTCAGCTGTCACTGTGTCTTAAGATGTCTTGACAGTATTTATAAGATGTCTTGAGACATTTTTTTTATGCCAAGACGTCTCAAGAACGTCTTAAGACGTATGAGTGAAGACACTGTCTTTGTCTTGAGACATGAAAGTTAACGTCTTAAGACAAAGAAGTAATTATTTTGTGTGTCTTGAAGACGAGGCATGACTTAAGACGTCACTTTGTCTTCAGACATAGAGATGTTGTGTCTTAAGACAGTTCAGTTGAGACCAAAGAGTAGTCCATTACAAAAGGTCCTGTGGTATTCCTGTGATACTGCCAAACTGAAAATTACTACTGAGGATTACCACAGCACTGCCTAATGTAAAATATAATGAGAATATAACTATATAAGAGAGAATATAAGTATGTCCTCAAGAAACAGCCTGCTGTAATCTTATGGTTTTTGTGTGATATTACTAAAAGAACATTCAGTACAGTAAGGTTTTACTTGCTGTACTTTTGTGATTCTTTTTTTTGTATGTTTTGTTTTTTGATTATTGCAGAAATGTGTTTACAGTAGCAACATAGCAAAAGAAAAAATCAATTCTTAAACCATTTACCTTACCTTAAAATGTTTAAACTCATTTCCTTATATCATTGAAGTTCATGAATAACTTTTAATTTGTAACATTTACCAAAGGAGATAATCACAGTCAGTCACAGCCTTTTGCTCATTTGCAGAAAACATGCTATGATTAAAACAACATTGATCTATTTTCAAATGTACAACTGTAACCAGAGACAACAAGCTAGGAACCAAGATTTGAGACAACTTTGAGCTAATAGGAAGTAAATGTACTTAACAGCTAACCTGAGTACTTTAGAGATCTCGACCACCAAAACTTAATGCAAAAAAAAGCACTTGGTTCACTCTCTTCAACATCTACACTTCTGTTTATTTTCTTAAGCAGATCAGGGCTGCCCAAAGTTAGACTTTTAATTTGTATAACTTTCAAAATTATTATCTCCAGTATTTGGAAAACACGAACAATAATAAACAAATGTATTTGAGTAGTAATATAAAGACCTGTATTGTTTCACCACGTAAAATTACATAATAGATTTTTGTTTAAATGTCCAACTTCATACTTTGACTTTAATATATTAAGACATGGCCTCCAGTGATGCTGTATGATAATGCTGCACAGCTGTCTTATGTATTTGAAGGGTTTGCAGTTTTCTATTCTGTGTCTAGATTAAAAAAACAAACAAACAAAAACAAATCAGCACAGTTCATTCAGTACAGCAGAGCCGTGCGAACCAGAAAAAAAGTTCTATGGGAGGACAAACAAAAGACTGGCGGGAGTTTAGACCAATCAGAGCGCGCGACTCCGCCGCTTGGACGTTCGGTTTTGAAGCGCGAGCGCTCTCCGCCGTTCCTCCGTTTAAAGCCAAACGCGGCCGTTACAGCCGTTTACAGTGAGCGGGAGTTTGTTTAGCGAGTGTTAAACCTGATAAGACTCTCTTACACTCCTTACTAAGACAGCGCCGCCTGCCGGGTGACGCTTTCAGCTCCCAGAAACGAGGATTTTCAGCTGCGTAGTTAGCTAACGCTAACTAGCTGACTGGACCGAGTGGAGTGGAGACTGGTTTTACGACTGGAGTCCCGACTGCAGCGGTCAGAGTCTGCTTTTAAAAGGTGAGTAGTGACAAAATGAGATAAGCAGCCTCACTGACAGTCAGCTGGAGTAAACTTTTGTTTCTGTATTTCTGGGTTGATCTGCCGAGTGAAGACACCAGCGGTAGGTTAGCGTATGCAGTTAGCTAGCTAGCGGCTAAGCGGCGTGTCTGTTTACGCCTCGCAGCTGCATCAGATGTCGCTTAGCACGCGCTCCAAATGAAAGACTGCCTCAGAAATAAACCTAAGACTGAACACAGTGCAGCAGGGTCAGCGCACCGATCAACAGTGCAGCAGGGTCAGCGCACTGAACAATACAACAATGAAACTGAACATAGTCCGTCAGTCTGTGTGGTTCAGAGAGGGTAGTAATGATTTTAATTTGCTCAGTTACATTTACGCTAGTAACGTCTTGGTGGATTTGTACTTTCTAGAGTATTTTTAAAATGTATTATCTGTGCTTTATATTAATAATCTATGTTTTACTCGGCTACATTTATTAGTAATATATAATGACCAGTTTGTTTTGTGTTTTTCATTGTTATGCCTTACTGTTGTTGTTTTGCTGCATTTACCTCATGTGTCTGTTTTGTGTTAGATGTTTCTCATCAGAAATCATCTGAAGCTGAGCAACTGGTGAGACTCAAGTTTTAATTTTTTAAGTGAAACTATAAGAATGTCAGACAGATGTTTAGATTTGGTGGGTATTTCAAACAAATATATTTCATGAAGTATTTATTGTGATACAGAAGAGCAGAATGTTTTGGTAAAGCTGGGTTACAGTACTCAAATATCTGCGCTTTATTCATTCAATTTATTAATATGTTATTTGCCACTACAGCTGTGTTCAAAATATCGATATGGCAATATCACCAACACTGTATCAATATTTATGAATTTACTTCTTCACAGTGCTTTAATGTGTAATACTGCAAGTCTCAGAGCCCTACAGGTTATAGCATAAAGCATGTGGTAAACATGCTCTAATAGAGTTTAGCTCTTATTAATAATCATTTCATGTAATAATTCTCTGTGAGAGAGATTAGAGGCATTGAACTCTTCAAACGCCTGGTTCTTGCCACTGCCACTGTGAACAACTCTGACTCTGTAAGTTTTTCCACAGTGGAACATTTTGTATCAAACTATTTTTTTGCATCTTAATGATGAAATTGTGCTTAAAAATCATGTAATTCTCCTTTAACACAGCTTTTAACAGATACAGATATCAATACTAAGCTCACACCTGCCTCAATAACAAATGATCATTTCTGTTGCATGTTGACTTTGGCATGTTAGAGGATGAAAACAATAGAATTGTGAATTATCTAATCAACTTTGTTGTTTTCAATCCTTCCAAAGGAACATCCTCTCTTTGGGCCTCATCCAGTATGGTGGCAGTCCATATCATTTTCAACACTCAACTGTGCTCTTACACAAGTGGCCTCATCCTGATGCTTCTTTCATTACACTGAACATCATTGTCTGAACATCAGCTATGCGTGTCAGCTGGGTGCCACACTGGAGTTCATGCATAGGTATTATTTAAAGCCCTGTCACATTTCTTTGTGTACTAAATGCCTGAGTTGATTTTAGATGAGTAAAAGTATGTATACTGTACATTATATTCTACTTATAAAGGGGATATATAATGCTTTCCCTTTTATTTACTGTGTTATGTAGCTTTTTGTGCATGTAAGATACAAAGCTGAAAGTATATGCCAGAGGGAGAAACTCTTTCCCACAGAAACCACTTTTCTCAGCTGCCTGAGGGCTGGAGTTCCCCAGCCCTTTTCCTTTGTTACAAGATGATGTAATCCCATAACACAATCCTTATTGCCCACCTACCAGCGAGCTTGGCACGCCCTCACACAACGCAACGCACCGGAGCCCGTGTTTTGGCGGAACCGCTCTGGTGCTTGATCAGTCAGAGCCAAGTGAGCGAGCTAACTAATCTGAGCATACTGGGCTCATCAGGAAGGAGGGGCTTAAAGACACTGGAGCTCTAACAGAGCATTTCAGACAGAGGGTGAGTAAACAATTACAGTATGACACAAATAATGTGTTTCTGGAACACTGAAGCATGTAAATGTATTATAGTCAACCCCAAAAATAAATTTATGAACATTGGAAATTAGCATAACAGGTCCCCTTTAAATTCAGCCTGCTTGTGTACGCAGATCCAAAAGTAACTTCAAATTTATTGTCTTAAAATTGATTTTTCAACAGATGCATTTTCCTCATATCTCTGACAAAGAAGACCAACACTGAGAAAAAACAGAGGAAGAGGCGATGGGCTGTGAATCTGACAGTTCTCTCACTCATCACGGATTTAACTCTGAAAGGAGAGATCGGTAACATTAGCAGTGTGATATCAGTAATGTTAGTGTTCAGGCATTATGGCATGGACATATGCACACTGAGTTATCTGTGTCCTGTTTCCTGTGTCCACATATGTCCACATAAAATGTCCACAGCTTGACTCTATTCCAGCTACCAGCACATCTGAGTCTGGTATTAATTGTTTGACAGCTGATCATTATCTGGCTCAGGTATGTTATGAGTACTGCTGGGGTTCAGACCTCTGTATTACTCTGTTGGTCAGTTTTTCTTTTTAGTCCATATTAATTTGTCTTAAAATTGTTTCCTATCATTTATAATTGTTCATAGTACTATTGTTAATAACCTCAGCATAACTTATATACGGAATAACAGCAGACCTTAAAATCAGATTCATTGGTTTGTGGAACTGAGTATTTATTGCAGTATATTTCAAATTTCTACACAAAGTCAGTTAACACATTTTTCTCTTTCTGTAGAACATATCAAGTGTGATGACGCTATTGTACTGTGCAGATACACAGTTGTAAAAACAATAAACAATAACTGTAATTATATTTTTTGAAAGCTATGTGGGTGCTTTTTCATGGGCTATGCTTTGGATTGCAGAGTAAATTATTTGAATGTAGAAGTATTCTGAATTTTTAACAGATTAACAAGGAAATACAAAACTGTAAGATAGTGATTTTCCATACCCCTTTAAATTACATTACTGTAATTTATGCATACTTATTATTGTTCTTGTTCTCCTTATTAGTATTATTTTAAAAGTTGATAAAATGATACCTTCATTAAAAAATGAAGCAACTGTAAAATAGTCTGTAAAAAAATGTATTTAACACATTTTACCACATTTTTTACCACATTAAGGGTTTATTACTATAAAAAAGGTATTTAAAAGAACTGAATTAAATTTTTAAATTTTGCTGCAACACTGTATTACAAAATAGTTGCATAAGAGTCTTCCCCTAATACTACCACCATGTTGAAGGCATGGTATGAACTCACAAATAAACTTGCATCATATCACTGATTCCATAAACTTTTCTAATGCAACAGAAACATTTAAAGGAGAATTCCACATTTTTCTAAACTTGGCATAATTCTGTCATTGCGATGTAAACAAAATCATTTAGTGGTTTCATATAAAATGGCTTATTGTAGAGAAAGCTACAGACTGGGAACCATGTGCCTATTATTATTATTATTACTTTTGTTGTTAAATTTGTTCTGAAATGTATAAATGTAGTATGTACTAATGTATGTAATGTTTGTATGTTTATACAATGATATGCAATATATTAAAATAAATGATACCATTATGCATCCTACATAGAACAAAAAAAATGAAAAAAAAAAATACTTACTATAATTTTAGCTATAAATAATGTTACATTTTAAAATTCCCTTAAAATATTTAAAAGTAAAAGGTTTATTTAAAAAAATGTAGGTAAAATTTAAAAATACGTATTATACATCCTACATCTTGAGACGTCTTGAGATGTTATTATTGCCAAGACATCTTAAGATCCATGTCTATAGACACGTCTTAAAGACATGTCTTCATGTCTTAAGATATGCCTCAAGATGTCCTAAGACGTCTTCATAATGTGTCTTTAGACATGTCTTAAGACATCAAGACATGGTGATGGCTGGGTATGTATTCTCTTTTAGGAGACCTCTCAAACGTGCGAGAAGCATGTGACCAACCACCTTGCCCTCTTTTGCCCCTTTTATCTCTAACACTGACTGTAGGCAACAAAGAAAGTTTCACAGGGAATACTGTCTTATGAGTCAAGATATATTCATCTGTTAACACAGCTGCCTCTGAAAGGGTAACCACTTTTTGTTCATTCAGATGGATTATAACCACCTCAGGTACATAATTTTTTAAATCTTCAAGCAAGATAAGCTCTTTTAACTGTTCAAAGCTAGTTATCTTTGAAGCAGAACACCACTTCTCGAATAAAACTGTTTTCTCATGAGCAAATTCAACAAACGTTTGGTCTGCAGTTTTCTGGTGAGACCAAAAACATTGCCTATAGGCCTCAGGCACTAACTCTTAAGCTCTGAGTACAGCAGCCTTAACCTTGTCATAGTCCAGGCTCTGCTCCAGTTAAAGAAGAGCACACTTCCTGTACCTTACCAACCAATTTGCATTGCAGAAGTAAAGACCACATGTCTTTGGGCCACTGTAGAGTGGCTGCTACATGCTCAAAAGCGATAAAATAGGAATCAATCTCTGATTCCTTGAAAGGAGGCACAAGAGAGATATATTTGCTGATGTCAAACTCAGAAGAGCTCAAGACAGGTTACCTTGAGGAAGCACTCCTCTGGCCTCCAGCTCAAGTGCCCAGAGACGCAGCAACTGCGTCTCCTGTTCCTGCTGCTTAATAGCCAGGTCCAACTCCTTCAGTTTAACAGCCATGTTTAAATCAATGTCACTCAGAGGACCAGCTCCTGGTGGAGAAGTGACTAGATCTATGCCTGGAGGAGTTCCTGGTGAATGCCCTGCAGCCTCTGACATGGACAATACACCACCATCCCCTACAGCAACACTAGCACTGACCAATACAGCAGCCTGGGCCACGGCAGGACTCCCTGAATCAGGGGACACAGACAACCTCCGGTCTTCATGCAGCTTCACAAGTACCCTCTCTCTAATCTCTGTCTTTCTAGCAGTACGTGCAACAGGTATATTATAAAACTCAGCCAAAGTCAGCCTTTCTACACTGCACCAAAGCTTCCACGGACGTAGACAACACAAATTTCTCCAAGTCAAACTCCATCTTCACGACAAAAAAGCAAATAAATAAATAAATAAATAAATAAACACACAACACCACACAACAGAACACACCACACCCGCCCCCACCAAAAAAAGGACGCAAGGACGAGGCCCCACAAGGCAAAAGAACCCCAAGCCAAATGCCCAGGAAAAAGAGACCCCAACAGCCACAACACTTTTGCGTTACGCTGGGGCAGCTGATAAGGCCATTCTGGGCGTTTTTTTTCCGAGGAATTTTCAGAGCCTGATGAAATGGGTTTAAATAGTGTGTAATACTTAAAAATACGTCTTCTAACGTCTTTAATTGTTGCGTACACCAAGCTGCAGTGGCCGCATTTGTGCACTGCCTTTTTAATATAGCGGGGGTTTATATACTCGTCGCTGCTGATTGGGTAACATCTCTGCACACCCATCAAAGTAGAGAAAACGTACGTTGCACACCATTTCTCACCGTTTTGACCAAACATGTCGTTCAACCTGGTAACCGTAGTAAAACGTGGACAACATTTTGAGATTGAAGCTACTGCTAGTTAGGCCAGGAAAAGGAAAACAGCGGTTAATACATTGCGTATCGGGGTATATTAGGACTACTAATATGACAATTTATTCATATAATCATAATTAGCCCAACAGTTATTTATTATTGTTATTATTGTATTTTCAACAATCCTAGAAACATAAGTTGATTATCATTAACCAAAGATTTTAAAAACTAATGTAAATGGAGCTAAAAGCAGCAAAAACTTAGCTTCTCTGCCAGATCAGTGTGCAAGTGTGTCAGGTGAGTGTAACCATGGGAACATGAACAAACAAAACAAAAACGGCTTTTTTTTTTTTTTTGTTATTTTGTTCAATTGGGAATGACTACGGTCACCGCGACGATGCTGAAGTTAGCTTCTTTTTGCCAGCTCATGCAAAGTTTTCTTTCCGCCCTAAATTGTGTATCAGTTAGCGGCATTATTTAAGGTGGAACGGAATATTCAAATAAGATCCTGGCTAATAGCGAGCCAGCTTCATTTTGTTTATATATAAATAGTATTTGTTTGAGTATTTCAGTGTGAAGTGTAATAAGTCTATTTAATTACAGCATCTCAGATATAGTCTGGAAAAGCAAGAACTGGGGAGCGAGATGGTGTCATTTGTTATGTATATGTGTAACTGCTGCTAAATTTGACCAGTACAAGAATCACAAGCGAGGTTGCCACTACGTCGTCAGTTGGTAAGTCGCGAACAGACCAAAAAGTACAAATAGACAACGTTGCTGGTTCATCGTGAAGAAAAAATTACAGAAAAAAAACTTTTTATTTTACGCAGTGTTTGCTGTGAATTCTGAAGCTAATGGCGATAACTTTAGATGATCCAAATGTGTG